CTTTTTCACAAGCCATGAGAGGGCACTGTATGTTGCAGGAGATAAAATGAAGGCCATGGATTCATGCAGGTATCCCCAAGGCACCACTAATGCTGGCATAATTTCCCAGCAGAATCTCAAAGTGGGCAGAGATCATGGCCATCTTTCTCTGTCACTTTAGCCCAGTCCCATCTCCTACAAAGCTAAAGAGTAACAGAAATTAAGCAAGGTCATACTCTGGAGCTGGCGAAAAGCAGATTGTGAAGTGAGAATGTTTGGTGTTAGTGTCCACTTTGTTGCTTAGCCACCATTTTGGCCCCACTGCCTCCTGGCACTCTTCACACTGGGTGCCCACCAGGACTTACCTTATGGGAATGTTCCATAAAACAGTCCCTTAGAATGTCTCAAGGACCTCTGACTTCCATTTTCTGTTATCTGCTCTCCACCCTCCCCTCCCTGGTGCCTAATTTTCTGCCCTATCACAGCTCATCCCCTAAGTATCAGATCTCTAAGAGCATATGATCAACTCATATGATCTGCTCAGATGCTAACGGCTAATGAGGGAAACACCTCTGACTCTTCTCTCTCCCCAGGGAATAGAGCATATTTTAAACAGAGGCTTCTTATAAATCATTAATTTTCCAGCCCTGAGGAAGGTTCTAGTAGTGAAAATTTCAAATAAGATAGGAAAAGAAAGGACATCTTTGGAGAGGCAGGTCAGTGACTTCTGAGCTACAGTATTGACAGTTGTTTTTGGAGTCCTAGCCATGTCATCCCTGTAATCTTTGGGACCCTTTGGCCATACGGAATAGAGTCTTATCCTGGTTACCTCAAGTAACAGGGGATTTATTACAAGGATATACATCCAAATAAGAGCAACTGGAATTTCAAAGGAACCCAGGAATAGCCAGGATTAATCAGCTTCATACAAATGGAAATACAGTTCAGAAACTGGAAAATAGTTCGGTATTCAAGGCAAATCCAGGGAAGGGGTTAACCTGGACTCCCTACTGAGAACAGGAGTTCATCCATTCCCACACCATCATGGGAACACAGTTCCTCTTGGCTTCTGCTTTCTTGCTGCCATCAGCCAACCACCTCTTCCTCTCCTCTGTATGTATTTTGATTTCTGCTAACTCATAACTTTCGCTTATTCTTAACTTCTCCTTACGCATAGTTTCAGCCTACACATAGTCCCTGCTTCCTCATAGTCCATGGGTGTGTTTTTAGCTCCTGTTCTGGATTCTAATTGACCCACTCTAATATTCTAGTTTGAATGTCCTAGAAGGAGAAGCTAACTGGATCAGTTAATCAGAATCCTTCTTGTTGAGGTAGAACCTTATACCAGGCCTCAGCCAAAGTATTCTTAGTTGCTAAGAATCAATTTGGCTGGTTTAAGCAAAAAATGAATTTACTGAAAGGGTATTGGATCAGAGAGATGCTCAGAAAATGAACAGAAACAAAGGGAGGCTGAGCAGACAGAATCACAGCCAAATCATACGTGACGTTAGCTGAGAGAGGACGCTATTGTTAGCCCTGAACAGAAGGAGCTATAACTTGTAATTGACACCTAGGCATTGGAAACCAGATATCACTGTTCGTCCCCCTACCCCTGCTGGCCCTGGAAACTGGACATTGTTGCAATTACTGCCACAGAGAGCTCTCCTCATCTCAGCTCCCTTGCAAAACCAAGTCCCAATTCCAGGTCGAAGGAAGGGATATTTGATTGGCCAAGTTGACATCACATGCTCTTACACTAGCTGCACTAGGGGTTGGGGGGCAGATGGGGAGAATAGGAAAGAATATACAACCTTTTCTGTTTCATCAGCGGGAAATGGGCTCTGCCTCCCACCAAGCCCCAAACAGTGGAGAATTCCTCCAGTATAGTAAGAGGGCTAGATGATGGACAGCTAAGAAAAAATGTACGCGTCCACTACACTAATGCAGGGTTGCTGACCTTCGAGTACAAGCCTATCCTGAGCCAATGAGCTCTGTTCAGGGGAGCAGAACACATATCCTCATTCAACAGGGTACTGTGGGCAGGGTGGGCATTTTGATTGGCTAGTCCAAGACAATCTCATAACCAAAAAAGTATAAGGAATTCTTCCATGTGCCCTATTTGCTTGAAGCTACCCAAGGCACACTTATACTCAGAGTATGTATTTATATGGCTATCTACCTGGTTGGAGTGTAAGCATTTGAGGGCAGAGAATTTGTCTTATTTATTTTTATCTCCCCAGTGGCTGTGGCACTCCCTGGCATATAGCAGATGCTCCAAAAATGTCTCAAATTTAATAGGACTTGTGGTTCAGGAACTTTTTCATAGCATTAGATAACACAAATTTCTCCATGCTTTGGGAAGACCATGATTTAAACAAACAAACAAAAGGACTTATTGACCCATCATGAAAGAGCAAAAGAAGTAAGAATTTTTATGTCCTACACTCTTCTCAGAGTTATCTCAGTTCCTTTACAGGGCATAGAGCTCTGAAATTGTGGCAGATGGAATGTGAGGACTGTTTGAAAGAAGAGAGATTGAGGCATGAGAGAGAAGATGGAATTTGGGAAGGGTACATCAACAGGGGGGCAGAGATGAGTGAATCAAGGAAAGGAAGCAGAGAACTAGTCCAGGGAATATTAGAAACAGAACATAAGTTTCCTGATAACCTAGAAGGGAATTAGAGAATGGGCAAAGAAATTCTAAATGTTGCTTTGATGGCACCAAGGAAGGAAAGATGGAGCTAATATTCTTAAGAAGTTATTACATGCAAGACATTTGCTAGGAACTCTGTGTGTATGTGTGTGTGTGTGTGTATTTAACCCTCTCAACAATCTAATAAGGTGAACACCATTATTTCCACTTTATAGATAAGAAAAATGATGCTCAGAGAGGTTAAGTGATTGGCTTGTCACAGAAAATAAGTGACAGTATTAGAACTTAATGACTCTCCATCTGATTCCAAATTCCACACTTTTTTCAACAACCCATCTCTCTCTGAGTACAACAGAAAAGGGTTGGAGGAACAGGTGGGATGATCGTACCAGAAGATAGAATGACGCCTCCAAACCATGCCTGCAAACTCCCAGGCCCTTGAGTGGTAGCTGACCCACCTTTGAAACCTTCCTATGGAAGTAACTTCGACAACTAAAATTTTTTAGACCATTTGTATATGAAATTTTCAAAAAATAAACACAATAGAAGCTTTGCCTCCCATGTAAGTTTTGTAAAAGTTTGTTGTAATTTGTTACAACAGCCCTAGGAAGTTAATACACTACCAAAGTTCAGGAAATGTCAAGAAAAGCCTTATAGATTACTTATTTATTACTTATTTTGTATTGAAATACAACTGATATATAATTAAATGAATGATTCCATGGATATTATTGCTTATGGTGAGGCTAAGTAAAAATCTAAGGTAAAATATCCAGTACACAATACAGAAGGCGTAGACGGATGTAACAAAACTCACGAAAGTGGCATGTGAACAGTGAAGTTTAGGATGCAAATATGAGTGTTGGGAGAGAAGCAGGTCTCTGAATCCGCCCTCCTGACAATGCAGCTCATTCTACTGTCCTGTATTCGAGATCAGATAGAGAAAGATTCACGTAGAAATGAGTAACACACACCCACAATTCCCTGGAGAAGGAAGGGGGCGACAGAGAGCCTTTGCTCACTTACCAAGGGGGCCTCAGAATTAAACCAAATGCCCCCGTCTGTCCCTACCTGGAGAACCACTGAACATGAACACAACTAACAAGATCCCAGGAGCCCAGGAGCTGGCACTGGTGGGTGGCATTATCTGTGCAAGTCTAAATGGTCTCAGACTTGGGCAGCATCCTTTTGTATCGATTTGCATGATTTGCTTTCCCGGCCGTTGGTGGAGGGATCTCCCGGTGAAAGCCGAAGGGCAGGGCGGAGAGAAGCAGGCGCTGGAGGAAAAGGGAGCTATACCGATGCTTCACAGGGGCTGAGCTCTTCGCGTGCCGCACAGGCCAGAGAGCCAATAGGATTGTTGAATGTCAGAGTGGAAGAGACCTCAGACATCAAATGATCCATGCCTCCCATTCCACTTGAAAACAGGAACTCAGAGATGGAGAGTCACTGGGTGAAGGTCACAGGGCTGATTAGTAACCGAAGTTAGTCATATCTGTTAAAGGCACCCTTTCCAGAGTTCTTTGATGATCTCTGGCTCTCTCTAAGCCAGTTACCTACTAGGGACTTTTATGATTGCCTCCCTGGCAGTGATAGAAACTGCAAACCTATTCAAGTCATCTGATGATTTGGCAGAGGATTCAGAGGGGAAAGAAGAGAAGCGCTGAAGGAGAGATGTCTGAGGTGAAGTTCGTCATAGGATGGGGCGATGCCCTCACGCAACTCAGAGCTGGGCTAGTTATGATGCACCGGGGCTCGTGGTTCGCATTGGGGGCTGAGAGGGACTCATAAAGATGTAAGAGGGGAAGAAACTTGGCAGAAAGTAGTTGCTTTCGTCTGCAGAAAGAGGCCCTTTAGCCCCCAAAGAAGCTGCTCTTTCCCCCCATTCCCTCCCACCCCCCAAAAGTTAACGGCGCCACACCTGCCTTCCCCAGATGCTGCTCCCTGCGTAAACGCCTCCTCATCCTCCAGGATTTTCCAACGCCGGCGCAAGCTCCTCCCTCGCGGGAGCCGAGTTGCTGTCCTAGCGCCAAACGCCCGCCCGAGCAGCGGCTGGGGGGCGGCGGGGAGTGGGCCCGCCCGCCTCCATTGGTTGTGCGGACCGGAGGGGCGGAGGGAGGACGCGCGGTGCGGCCGGCTCAGCGGCCACAGGCTCACTCGGGCTGCGCCCGCTGCCCGCCCCTGCGCCCGGCATTCCCGCGGACGGCTCCGCGGGCGCGCATCGCCGAGACGCGGACGCCCTCGAGGAGCTCGGCGCGGTCCCCGTCCCACCCGAGCTCCAGAGCGCAGTCCGGGAGGTCGGCGCGTCCGGACTCGCAGGTCAGTCACGGAGGCAGAGGAGTGGGGAGCCGGGGGCGCGCGGGGTGCCGAGCGCTGGGAGTGGGCTCGCTCTCTGCGAGGGGCGCCTGACTCCTCGCCTGGGGCCGCCTCGATCTCGGAGGCTCCGCTCCCTCGGGAGCCGCCTCCCAGACTCTCCCCGGCTCGCAGAGGTTTGGCTGCTTCCCTGGACACCCCCGAGTCTATCCCCTTTGCGACCGGCCGCCCTCTTACGGCCCCCAGCAGCCTCCGCATCCTGGCTCTCCCGATTCTCGGGAAGACTTCGCGGGGCTATGCAGTGTCCTTGGCCTCGGGATGACCCGCTTCTGTCCCGGACGCAGGGAACCGGGAAGATCTGCCCTCTCGTCCGCCGCTGCAAAGATTGATTCTCCGTGCAAGTGTAGACACTTTGCAGTTCGACACTTTGCAGAGTGTTTCTAGGTGCATTCTGTTTGTTGCTGCCTTTGTGGTGTGTGCAGTCATTCTTGTGTTTGTTTTACGCCTACCTGGATTTCTAGGGTCATTCGTCCCTTCCTGGGGACTCGCCCCGCGCACGACTGCCTGCTTTGCACCTTTTGGTGCTCGCGTGAACCTTTTCACTCGTTTTGGGTGGCTCCAAACCCGGGGAAGTTTTACTTGGCGCCCGACACTTGCGTTTCCCAGCGGTGATTTCCCGAGTTCCCAGAAAGCCTTGTAGGAAACCGCACCGGCCACCTTCCCCTTTTCCCGGATCTGCTGAGACGCTGGAATCCTGCGTTTCCCTGTCGAGGTGCGTGGATTATGGGCAAATTGTTTGAGTTCCGATTTAGGAAAGAGGTGTGTGATGTGCCCTCCTCGGCGTGGCAGAAGGACCTATTCATTCACAAAAACATCTTGTTGAGGACCAGATTTAGTGACTGTACCTGCGTGCTTTCCACTGCCAGATGCCTGGGTCCCCGCCGGGCTTGGGTTTGGTGTCAGACTCCAGAGACAGCGTCTATTTCTTGATGTCCTTTATTTCCTTTGCACGTTAAATTTCCTTCGGAGAATTTTGTGAGTACTTAGGGCTTTCTTTGTTGTGGATAATGGGAGCCAATGGCTCCAGACGTCTCAAAACCATTGCATCTAGTTCGGTCCGTACTTTAGGTGTAAAGGGCGGGAAATGGGCGGCGATTATGTCCTGGGGCAGATCCGAGGGACCACTCCCCAAGCTGTTTCTTTTTGGTGCTTTTCTCTTTAGATTTTCCAGATTCATTGTCAGAGAACAGTTTATCAATAGAAAAAGAGGCAAGATAAGTGACACTCTTTTCTTAGAAGGTCTACCTTTTAATGCAGTTTTGTAGCCCAATGTACCCTCCTTAAAAAAAAAAGGATGATCTTTAATTAGCTTAAATTATGCAAGTAGTCTAGTGTTATAGTATATTTGTGATTCTTAAATACGTTTTGTGACTGAAATGCTTCATTTTGCTGAATATAAAGGCATCTTGTCCCCACTCACCACCACACACCTGCAGCCTTTGTAATCGCCACGTAGTTGATCCGTAATGCAAATGGCTTTTTGAAGTGTTCGTTGGTGAGAATGCCTTGTAACTGAGTTGCATTGACACCACTCCCACAGGGCATGTCCCAGTCCTCTTCGAATGCTGGGCATTGTGGAGATGGAGAACCATCTGCCAACCTCAGGAGTATTCTGGGAATACTAAGTTCCAGAAAATGGGTGGGGTATTCCATTTTTGTGTTTTGGATTTGAGGCGTATTATTTATTTGGCTTACTCTTTACTATTTTTGATCCTCTACATAAGGCAAAGTGCTATGAAGAGCTCAACATACATTTGTTCATGGTTCTCATTAAGGAAGCCTCACGTAAGGTAAGATCTATTTTATTTTCCCTGCTCTGGGTTAGTTGGAGTCAACAGATTTTACTGGATGTCTGTGATGTTCACAAGGATGTCAGGGATGCAGAGGAAAAGAATGGGGTGATGGCGTGTGGTGTCAGATCCAGCAGAGGGTGTGTTTGCAGGTTTTCTAAGTTTCTTTCCTTTTTTTTCTTTTTTAACGAGGACAGATAAAGGCTGACAGAGCTGATTGGTGAGAATGATTAATAATACTAATCATTTAGTAAAGTTGGAGTCATACATTTGTTCTAAGAATGATGAATTAACCCATCACAGGCAGAATGCTCTGGCTTGACTTCTATTCTAGATCAACTCTGAGCCCATTTGATAACATCCCTTCTTCTCTGGGCTCACTCTTCTCTCTGCACTTGTACTTAATATCCTAATTTTTTTTCTTTTGCTTTTTTTTAAGTTTGTAGAGTTTGTATAAGCATTTTCATATTTAATTGGTTATTAGAGAGAAGCAAAAAATAAAATTATGGCTCATTGTTTGTGTTTTGCTCATTTGGGTTTTTAAAATAGTAATTTAAGGACCTGGAAAAATACATTTCTGAAAGGCCCTTGACATCAGGCACTGTGTAGGTCCCACTTACCTGGCTCCTGGCACCCATGAGCCATTCAGTAAACATATGTTAAATGAAACTAGAAGCCAAAAATAGTGTTGCAGAAGAATGCCATTTTCCTCAAATAGATATGTGTGGAGCATATTGTATTGTTATATTACTATGCTAATATAAAGCATCACAGGCTTATAGACTTTCATTATTATTCATAATGACAGCTAAAAAATAGGAAAGCCTTTAAGTTAGTTAATAGAATAGGGAACCCAACAACGAGGAAGCTCAAACTCAGTGCGTGAGTGGTCAGTATTCCTTTCAGCCAACAGATGTACCTAGAGAAATCCTGCCAGAAGCTTAAGACGGAAGTGCCCGGGATACGCGCATGGGGCCCAGCCTTTGATGTAGAGTCAGGAAGTCCATCTGTGTATTCAGTGGCCATTTCAGATGCAGGGTGGTGGACTACTAAACTGACTTATGGGGCCCTTTCATGTTGTGATTCTGATTTGCGGTAAATGTGTCCATGGGATATAGCCTTCTGAGATGCTTGGTCTCGTGACGCAGAATACCTCCTTCAAGAATTGCTTGTGAATAGGGTCCTTGCTCATGTTCACATTTCAAACCAGGAAATAGTCATTAGCCTATACTAAGTTTTGGCAACAACAACAAAAGATGGAGATTCTGAGTAGTCAAGTAACCACATACAATTTAACAGGAACTGTAAGCAAGAGATGGCACGATCTAGCCAAAACAGTGCCAATACTGTTTCAAAGCTCTGAATACATATCAGGAACAGGATAGACTGTTATTAATTTTTCTTGAGTTCCTAACATTTAAGTTCTCATCTATTAAGTTACATTAAGATGAGAAATCAGTCAGTCCAGATGTACAATTTGTATTACGGGCTTGATTGTTGATGCTGATATGGTTATAGACAATAGTGAAACAATCTGGAAATTGCAAACCTGTAGTAGTTGGGTATTATAAATAAAATAAATAAAAAAGGGTAACTTAAGAAGGTAACAGACACAAATACAATTTTTGATGGGAAACAGAAGGATAGGTGGCTGTAAGAACTTGTTTCAATTTCAAAAAGACGGGAAGATGACTCAAAGAAAGCACCGTTAAAACACAGACAATTCATTCAGGGAACATTCAACGTACAGACTTGCTCCCAAGAGGAAGCCAAAATGGCAGTTTTCCTGATTAATTTGCTACAATAGTCTGGTACTGATTAGAAGGACCTGGTAATCTATCAACTGTTGCCAATTAAACTGGTTTGGTTCTTAGTCACTTTCAATTTCTCTGTGGCCAAGATTACAGCAGAGGGATCTACTCTTCCCATTTCTTAAATAGAACATTAACCACCTTCTGTAAAATGTCACTATAACACAAAGTACAATTAAACCCTATTGGGCAGATTGACCTTCTGGCCTCAGCCTGAGAGTCTTAAACTTTGAAAGAAAAGATACATATGAACCATTTCAAAGATGTGTGTTAAGTGTATACAGTACAAAAACAGGAGGAGGAAGAGGGAGAGTTCTGGGCTTAAAAACCAGTTGTATTTTCACTGCATATTCTATAATTAAGTTTTATTTCTATTTCTTAGTGAAAATACCTTTACTGTTTTTACTGGTTGTGAAACAACGCATGTGCTTTGTATCAAAATTCAAATATAGACAAGCACAAAATAGAATATGAACATGCTCATAATCACCAACTAACAAAAACATGTATTAACAGCTTGGTGCATAACCTCTTGTTTAGTTTAGTTTAGCTTAATTTGGTTTTATTTTGTTGTGCTTTTGCACGCCCCTAAAATTGTGTATGCGTGCATAGTAGTAGCAGCAGTGCTAGTAACTGCTGTTTTACAAAAGTGGAATCCTACTATGTGCTATTCTGAAGCTTGCTTTTTTACTTAGCCATGCATGACCAGCATCTTTCCACGTTAGAAAATATAGTAGTACATCAGAATCCTCCATTGTATGACTCTTCTATCGTTCACTCAACCAATCCTCGACTCATGGACATCTTGGTAGCTCCAGTATTTAGCTACACAATACATCTTTGTGCATGTGCCTTTTAAATTTGTTTGATTTTTTTCCCATAGGGTAAATTCTCAGAATTTATTATTTATAGTGTTAGCCTACAAATGCCATACATTTTTGGGTAAAAAGGAAAGCACTCAAATAATTCATCCAACAAGTACTAGACATTCCCTACTGTGACCCAGAGTATCTTATATACGCCTGGCAGGTGATACTTTTTTTGCCCTTAAAAAACCATTTTTATTTAATATTAATATAGAAAAGTACACAGGGCATGAGTATATAATTTATGATTTATGTGTTTAATTTGTACACACCCATGTGAACGGAACCCAGTGTTTGCCAATACCCTCCTTCACGCCCCTCATATGCCTTGGCAGCCAATCATTTAACAGTTCCTCATGAGAGTCCTTGGTGACCTTGTTGACCTCAGTTTTCATGAGTCAACTGCTAGATTAAGGGCATTATGCATTTTAGATTGACATTGGAATACTGATGGATGGATCTCAGACCTTCAAAAAGACGCCTTGCCAACAAAGTTGGACTGATTCAACAGAATCAATTTCCAAGATTCTTTATTCTGTCCCCTTATCTCTTTATTACCCCCATCAATTTTGGTCTCAAATTTGTCCATTGGACCTTGCATGGCACATATTTTGAATCATATGATGAATTACCCTTTGGATAACAAAAGAAACTGAGTAACTTGTTTTTCATCTGATTTCCTCTTGTTGGCCACCCAGCTCAGCTCTGATTATGGGTGGATTTAGAGTTGGAAAAGGAGTCCTGGGCTCCCAATTTGTGGTTTCTGTCACCAGCTGTCTCCTTCTGCCATCCTTTTCTGAAGGAGTATAAACAATGACTTTCAAAATTTACTTAATTTTTGGAGACTTCACTTTCCTGATTTTTAAGGACCTCCAGCTCTGCAATTTTATGAAAAATATTTTCCGTTTGTTGTTGTTATTGTTACTTATTTGGTTTTTATTTTGGTATTGTTTGATTTGTTGTTTTTTGTTTTTAATAAAGGAAAGTTACTATTGACAGGGACCATAAGGAAAGAAGGAATAAATTAGATACATGATAAATGTTACAAGTTAGTTCTACAATGGATGAGAAGAGAAAACGTTTGCTTCTTTTGTGCTCATATTTTCATTCCTTTCATTCTTTTTCTAAGAAGCTGAGGTCTGGATTAGTTTCCTAACATGATACAGCTTAGGATGTCACTGCCCCCATCACCATGGCTGTGATCTGGACAGGATGCTGCTCCATTCTCAAAGTACGGTCCGTGCACCAGGGCCAGTCCTTGAATTGTTCGTTGCTCATTCAGCATGAGACATGGAACTTGAGCCATAATATAAATCAAATGAGGCTCTAAGCACACTTTTTAATTTAGCTGGATTTTTTTTCTTTTTTTCTTTTTTGTAGCAAGACTTTCTTGATGACGGAAGCAGTGCTTTGCAAGCTTCTGGTCTCACAAGGACTTCTAACCAACATATCCCTGAGGGAGCCAAGTGGCTACTTTGAGTAGCATTGATCTCCAATGTGGGACTTTGTAGTCAAATTGAGAAATGTATAAAAGTGTAAATATTATATTTTTCTGTGCTAATTCTTTATTGAAGTTTGGGAGGGTTTTTTTGGTAGAGGGAGTTTATCCTTGAGATGGAGTGATTAAGAGTACCATAGTGTATGATTTCCTGAATGTAGTGAATTATAATAGCCCTTCCCCCTAAATGATCAGAAAGTGAATATTGTCCTTGACCTTTTTTATTTCCACAGTGACAAGGGTTGTGATTATAAAAGACCTGGTAATTTTCAAAGGATAAGATTATCATGGAGTTTAACTTAAAGGACACTTTAAATTAAAAACAATACATCCTGTTTCACATTCAGTCATATCTTCATTGACTCAGTTTCATAAACTCTCTTTTGATTTTTATCATGCTCTTCAGAATACATTTCTTACAACCCCCCATCTATGTTCACCCTAATGTGTTTCAATATTTACAGCAGATTCCTCCATCCTTTCTTCTTTTATCCTGATGGACACTTGACTAGATGAAATCTTTGTTAAATATTGTTAAAGACACAATTTCTTGATAAAAAGTATGGTCACAGTTTGCTCTGAAATTATTAATTTTATTGCCATAGCTAAGATATTTATAAAATTTAGTGAGTGTTCATCATTATTCTTTACTCTTGAGTGCTTACCATTTAACTAACCAATATGATTTTATACAAGATCATTTATTCATTCATTCAACAAATATTATTGTGCATCTAAAAATAGAAAACATAGGGGCCCCCTAATGGTGCAGCAGTTAAGTTTGCAAGTTCCACTTTGGCTGCCCAGGGTTCACCTGTTCAGATC